CAAATAAATATATCTTTATATTTAATAAATATTTAGTTGGCATGTATTCAACTAAATATTTATTAAAATTGACTATATTTTTTTTCAGTGTACATGCGTCGTGGGAAATGAAAATTACCATCGACCTTGCGTGTATTAGTATAGAAATCATGCTTGACAAGATGTAGCTAACGAATAATAAAGAGCAAGGTCGTGGGGAAATCGTGTACAATACACTTTTGCGTATAAACGTGTATTTCAGTATAATTGACGAATGATAACATAAGATGAATAATCATATTGAACGTGCATTTTCGCGAATTTTCTTCTGTAATAGCAAATTTATTGACAAAAAAAAACAAGACAAATATCTTCGGCAGCTGTTAACAATATGTTCGCAAGTGCATACACACATGATAGCTTAACAACTCTCCAATCATTTTGTAATCTGATTAGCATTTGAGCGATTCTATATCTAAAAGACTCTCTTTAAGAGGATTATTAACAAAAAGTAGAACGCAATAGTTAATTTCTTATATAATGCCCATTTGTCAGGAGCAGATCCAGAAACTACAGAAACTTCTCAAGGTGAGGACCATTGATGGATTTGTATTTGGTTGCCAAGTTCTCCAATGTCATGTGCCAACAATCAAATAAAAAAAGAAAATTTTCACAGTTTCTATACCTTTCTGTCCTTATTTTTTAATTTGAGCAAAAATGTTTTCGCTTACGACGGGCGGAAAATAAAAGCCACAGCAGCATAGATTTTTGTATAACGCCGCATATATCTACAAAAGAGCAGTAAGCCTTAAGAATCTAGGAGTTTCTTAAATTAAAAATATTTTTAGAATATATACTGAAATTGTGATTAAGCATTTCAGTATGTATATATATATATATATATATATATCATTTTGTTATAAATATTTTTAAGAAAGAGAAGATACCCAAAGTAGGGGCCATGGGAGCCATGGCTCTATCGTGGATCCGCCCCTATCGTTTGTACCAATGAAGTTTAATTTTATCTGAATTGTACTCATATATAATTCTTCATCTTTTTCTAATTCTAAAAATTAGAAAAAATGAAGAATAAGTTGAAGCAAGTTTAAAGTTAATCTACATTAGTAGAAACGGGCATAAGAGAGAAATTACAAAATAACATATTTTTATAAAATATATTTAGAAAACATTGTCCAATAATTCAAATAAAAATTTTGCATACTTATCGCAATATTAAGGGACCTATTCTGTAACGATATCTTCTGGGACGATATCGTTAAATTGTCATTGCGCAGCTTTTTTACTATGTACAAAATCTGCGCAATGACAATAACGATATCGTTAGTCGTTAAGAGTTACACTGTTAGAAATGTAACCATGAGCTTCCTTTACGTAAATGAAGCTGGTGGTTATGAATGAAATTAAAAGTAATGAATGATTTAACTGAAAATTAAGTTACAGTAGTTACTTAAATGTAATGAACGTGTACATTAAATTTATGAAATTTAATGTATTTTTAATAAAATTTTATGAAAAGTACATTAAATTTCATAAATTTTCATGAAAAATACATTAAATTTTATGTACATGTACATAAATGTACTTTTTAGTTACAAATACATTAAATTTAATGTAATGTCATGAAATTAAATTCAAATTAAATCCAATTATGTAACTTAAAAGTTAATGAAATTTAAGAACATTTCTAACAATGTACAGAATAGGCCCCTAAGAGTGTCTACAAATCTGTTCTTTTTAATTAAATTTTTTACATCGATCATTTTTCCTTTTTTTCTCTCCAACGTAGAAAAAATAAACTTAATATTATGCATATAACATCTTGCAATATATTAGGTAAGTATAATTTGTATAAAGACATTACATATGTCAAGATTTATAATTTTAGTTGACTAATGTTTTCTTCGATAATTTCATTTGATTAATGTTATTTATGTAAAAGCCAGACTATTTTGACTTTAATCAAATATAAAAATATAGCAAGTAAAAAATGCTAAGAAAAGTATGATCTATTAAAATGTATTTTCACAATTTTAAATTATTTCATATATTATAAACACTGTATAACAGGAAACAGACTGTCAATTTGATAACCAAGAATATTTTTTCGGATCAATTTAACATCGGCATACAACGTCGTTCTCGTTTAATGATAACGAAATATTTCGAGATGTATCATTTCCGATAATGAAATAAACATTCCTATTGCGAGCACTATCAACGTAAAGGGATTAATTCGATAAATAATTAGGAGAATATTAGATTAAAATCAATTAGATTAAAATGGAAAAAGGCACGTGTTTGTATTGTGTAATTTATTATTCGTAGGAAATCGATAGAATTATTTTATTACATATAAAAAATTTATAAATGAAGAAACTAATAGCACGTGCCAGATCTACGTGATGTTCTTTGAGTTATAAATAATGAAGTTTTAACTGAAAAAGAGATTATTCTAATGTTGAATAAATGTCAATAGTAAAAACTGTGAAGTTTTGACAAATTAAATCGCAGACAAAAAAATATAATATAATGTTGCAAAATGCAGCTCTATTTCTCAGTTTTTATTCAAGAGTCACTGGAAGACGATCACAAAAACGTGAAAATGAAATTCTTTGTCATTTCGGAAGTTCATGAGAATTCAATACTAATCTAATTAACATACGAAAATCAATAGCATTTTTTTAGAATGTCACGTTTTAATTTTTGAATATTAGAAACAAAAACTTATTTTGTTAAATAATTGTAAATACATATCATTTGTTAACTAGTACCGTTTAATAACTACATTTTCGCCTGTAAGATATAAAATGTCATTTGGCAGCTTGCACTTCGACCTTGTGTATCACAAAAATATATAAAAAAGAAAATGTTATTATTACACAATAAGTTTGCAGAAAAATCAATCTATATCAAAAGGCAATCTTACCTTTGCAATCTTTATATCGATATTAACAACAGGGGCAACAGTCAACTTTAGTCTTCAGTACTTTGCACTATATTACACTTGCGTAAACTTTGACCGGTTTGATTCACTAGCTTATGCATAATTAAAATAAAAACTTATAATAGCCGACATTTTAGTACTATAGGATTTTGATTTCAAAACTCTATTTTTAAGTATTGTGCGTTGTAACGATCTTTATGGAACACCAGCCAATGTCAGTGTCTAACAAATCGTGATAAATGTGTCTCAGGATTTTAGAATAAAAATAATTTACAACGCTCTTTGTGTGCTATAATATAAAGGACTTCAATCTTTTGGTTACAAATAATTATCATAATTTGACTATTAATAAAAAGCCTTTAAGAGCCGACGCATAAGTGCGAGAAACATAAATTTATTAATGTTAAAGCTAGTACATAATATTAATAAACTTATGTTTCACACAACAACTTGCGTCGGCTTTCAAAGGCTTTTTAATAATAATTGATTTACTTCACTAGAGTCTACACAATTTTGAAATAATTTATGATAATTTGGCTTACTAAAAAATATACGAAGAGACTGTGAAAAGTAAGCCAATTCATTAGTCTTTCAAAATTTCTGAAATCCGCATTTTATTCGTTACACTAGCTCGTTAACAAAAAAATAAAAGTTGCATGAATTAGAATTATTTATATTAAAGTAAACAAGAATTCTTATTCATTAAGAAACGCTATGTACAGAGGATATCCCGAAATTTGCGGGATACTCAAAATAACACAACAAGAAAGTCCTTAAAAAAACCTATTTGTCATTTTTTATTTAACACAGTACTTTTGAAAAAAGGTTTAAAACTGGCTAATTATAAATTACGGTTAAACAGTTGTCCATAAGTTGCACATCGATATTTAGTTTGATCGTGCATACCAATTCAGACAGACAACTGCTTAACCATAAAATCTGGCCCATTTTAAACCTTAATATCTGAAAAACTACTACGCGAAATGAAAAATGGCAAACAGTTTTTCGACTTATTTTTTTCAAGAACTTTCTTGCTGTAGTATTTTGATTCGCAAATTTTGGGACACTCTGTATATGTTTATATATATCTGAAAATGTCATGAATAAACTCTATCATGATTAGAGAGCTTAAACAATAAGAAGTTTGTTATACTTATCGTCGAATCATTTAATGTTAAAATACGAAGATATATTTTCATATTATATGAAATAATCATAAAGCAAGTTAAATTCTCGATAAAACTGGGTAATATTTCTTCTTCCCAACGAATTCATTTAAACCATTTACAATCTGCAGAGGTCTATATTTTATTTATATAATGTTAAATGCGATTGTGATCTTCAATTCACGGTACTTCCTTTACAAAAAACTAGACGACTGTAAAAACTTAAAATTGGACAATCACATAACGTCAAATATTACTCACGAATACAAATATTTGTCCATTCATTTGTGCATTTCACGATTTAATCTTTTTATAAAATCGCTAACAATTTTATAGAACACAACACATAAGATACTGGCAATTCTATAATATTTCGAGATTTTATAAAATAGTCGGTTTAATCCGCTTTTAGAGTAACATTTAAGTCACTGATAACAGTTACTCCTAATCTACAGGATTAATTTACCTAAGATTAAAGAAGTAGCAGACCACTCCGCAAAAGAGGAAGAGTTCGATGAGGCACTCCATCCTCACTTTCGAAGAGACACTCTAATTGTAAGAGCAAAAAAAAAGGAAAAAAAAAGAAAAGAAAAATAACTGTTCTATGCACACTATACTCTGTCAATCGATCAGATGTTGCTCGTCGCTGCCATACTCGTTTCCCACGATCGGATCGACGATCAATAACGTTACGGGATTGTTGTCTCCATCGATCGCGCGGCCCGTGAGATCCATAGATCGGAGCGGTGCGCAGAAATCGCTCGCGAGAGAGCGGAGGATCCCGCGACGGTGGTTGCTCGCAGCAATTCCCGAAGGCGGTGATTAGGTACCGTACGGTCCAACTCGGTCGATCTAGTGTCGTCGAGTATCGTCGACTTTCTACCGCAACACGTTAAGTAACCGGCGTATCCAACCGAACCGCTGGCCGCCACCACTGCTACTGAGGACGGTTCACTGACTCACTGACTCCACCGTGCGGCGATTATGATGAGCCGGCCGTGATGCTTCATGCGTGCATGCGTGCCTTCAAATACGCTTTTCAAGGTACATTCGCCAAGGAGAGCGGAGCGCGTGACCTTCTGGATCACACAAAACGTAGGGAAGCCCGCGAGCGAGAGCTGCACAAGTTCTTGAATTTATGTCGCATACGAAACTCGATATAAATACGTAATATGGATTTTATATGGTCAATTATACTATAACTACTATCAGTATCAGCAAACGACAATATTTTTGATTGTGTGGTTAATATTGATGGATTGACGATGAACCGGATTTCTTGATTCTCGAGCATTAGTATCTCCTACCACCGTATTGAGAAAAATGTCTGGTTGGATTAACTAGAATTCTGGTTGAAAATGGACAAAATAGAATTTTCTGGTTAAACTATTAGAATTCTAGAATTGATAACCAGAATTCTGATTGATAAATTAGAATCTTCTGGTTCGTTCATTTTCATGCAAACATTTTTCTCAGTGTGAGCTCGAAGATTAAGAAATCTGGATTACCATCAATATTCTCTATAGCGATACAACAATATTAACACACAATCTATAATATTATCAATATTTATTGGAATTGATAATTTATTTGATACTAATATTATATTATTGATCTTGTAACATTATTGCATAAAAAGGGTGCGTCAGTACATTATTAGATATTAAAGGAGCAATAGTAACCCAATCTCTTGAGTTAAATAATATTTTGTTATTTTTAACTTTCATGTATGTTAAAATTTTAATGAATACATTTCTATGATTATAGTTTCAAAATAAATGTTCATATTAACGCGTAATGCACTTATTAAATAATAAACTAAATTTGAGTTAAATTTAATACATTTTCTTAAGTTAAATTGTTTAACTCCATTGTTTTAGTTAAATTAACGATATATTGAGTAAGAGCAGTGGCGACTTATAGAAATAATTAAAGATAACTCAAATTGGATATAATTTAACATCATGAATTTGATTTAGTGTAATTCTTTCAGTACAGTTGTATAATTACACAGAAAGAATAATTGTGCTAAAATATCTAAAAATTTAGCAAGATACTGAAAATAATGTTGTTATCAAAATAATTATATAAAACGCTGAATCATAATAAGCAATGCTGCAAAATGTTTTGACATTCTAATTAATTATAAGAATGTCAAAACATTTTGCAGCATTGCTTATTATACTTGTGCGTCCTATATAATTATTTTGATAACAAAATTATTTTCGGTATCAATTGCTAAATTTTTGAATATTTTAGCAAGACCGTTCTTTCTATGTATAAAACTGAACTGAAACATTGTCAATAATATTGATCATAAGATTGTCGAAATATTGCATCTGTCAGTACTACTGATTCAATATTACTAATTAGTATTATTGATCATGTAACGTCCATATAATTTTTCGTATGCAATATTTTTTAATAAGATACCGGATCGCGGAAGATGGATTCCCTGTTAATCAATCTGGACATGGCATGGATCATCTTTAGCTATGGAATGTCCGGCGCAAATTGTGATGCGATCAATGATCTTTCTGAAGAGGCATAAATTCACGAGGATAAACAGTTATTCGCATGCTCACGTAATTTTCGAGAAAAATTATGTTAAGACTTAATAAAACATGTTTATTTGGCTATGCAATGAAACCTATGTAACTAAAACGACGCTCTAAAACAAATGTAATAAAATACAATTTTACGTAATAATTATATTAGTTACGGTTGTTACGAGATTTACAAAATATAATCATCCAAAAGCGTGAGTATTCGCAACTACCGTTGGTCAATTGTGTGATATATTAAAATCCAATTTTATAATTAGTTGTTGCGAGATTCATAAAACCTATAATTATCTAAAAACAAACATCTTTGGACTGTCATTGATCACTCAAAAAATTAAGACTAAAATCACAAGACAAAAGTTATCAACAATATTAATTATAACGAACAGCATTGGGCATTTTCCAGCAAGAACACAGTGTAACACAGTCAATCATTATATCCTTGTTGTTTACCTATGTTAAACAAGAATGAAATGATTCATTATGTTACATTGGAAAGTGATCATTTTTTTTATAAAGTTGCACGCGTTTCCGTACTATATATGATTTATTATGTAAAAAAAACCTTTGTAACATGTAAAATTTCTAGAACGATACAAGATAAAAAACATGAATTTCAACGAACGAATACCTATAAATAAAAATTGAATCGTATACTATTCAGGAGCAACCTGGATGCAAATTGTCGACAAGCAAAAAGAATTGTCATTGTGCGATCAAAAGAAAAGTGAAGTCATTCTTTAGTATTTTACTGAAACAGCTGCAATACAGTCATCCTTAGAAATTGCGAAATACAGACGCATTCTATCATATATAATTCTAAACTCTAATTTGCCAAGAAATCTATTAAATTAAAATTGAGTTAAGCACACGGAAAAAAATAGATTTGCTGATTCAGCAAAGCTATAGCTTTTCTACGCGAATTCAACATCTCTAATTAAGAAAATTTGGTGGTTCAACAAAGAACTTATGTCTGTAAGCAGTCATCAGTATGCTCATATAACAAACTCATCTTTGGTAATATTATCATTGTTATTGCAACAAATTAGTTCAGTTGAAATAACTAATTTAATATGTTTGCAATACATATTTTAATCTACATAGCATGCTGAACGCGGGTCTCAAGTTGCAAAATTATAAACATAGTATGACTTGCGTAACACATATTTTCGGCTGTAAGACGCAGAACGCAGAACGCGAAAATTTAATTTCAGTGCATCCTGTGTTTATGTCCAGGGCCTATATGTGACGTATAATTAGGTTAGATTAGGTTCTAACCTTGCAACCGCATTTTGCGTACTATGAAGATCCAGCTTAATACGTTTAAGTAACTTTAAATAAAAATTGTATATACGTTTATTGTTGTATTATTCAATAATTCAAGAATTGCATTTTTTTTATTGTATTAAAATAAAAACCATGTATTTAACAGAATTTGTTGTCTTAATTAACTTGAATTGTTAGAGCAACTAATTCTTTGCTACGATGAAGATTGCTAATGTAATAAATTTCTTCATTATAGCAGCAAAAGTATGCGCTATCTTCATTAGCATGTTTTGTTACAAATGTTGACCTTTATGATAGATTCATTTTTTCAGAAAGTTATCTTTGCTGTATTAACAAATTTGCTATGCTATTAGAACAAATATGATTAGTTACAATCTTTAATTTAATTCAATTACACAAATTTGCTACTTTAACATATTATAGAAAATTGGCTGTGCCTATATTACGGCTGTAGATTTGCTAAATCAATGAAGTTTTTAGCTGTTTTAGTAAATCTTTTTTTTCCGTGCATCTTACAGAAGAGACGGTTTTGCTGAAATATATCTAAAAATTTAACTAACTACAGATCTGAAAATAATTTTGCTATAAACCATCAAAATGATTATGTAGAATGCTCAAATTGATTACTAGAATGTACCGAAAAACTTTTTGTATCATTACTTATCAGCTTGATATTTCTATATTAGTTATTTTCATGATAAAAAAAAAGTATTTTTATATCTGTATCACTTGTATCATAATATCATAATATCTAGCTACATAAATTTTTAGATATTTCAGTAAAATCGTTTTTTGTATTGCCTCTTCTTCGTATATTCGCGTTAGCAACTTCTGAGTTCGTATGTTCGCATTATTGTTCTTGCGATGTTTTATCTCGATACATTTCATTCGTTTAAAATAGTTCCGGGATAATTACAAAAAATAAATATGCTCCTCGACCCGTGAGACTTTCTCTGTTCGTTGAGTTTGATGGTTTGAAAGGCGATCCACAGAACAATCCTTGACTTTCACATGATTAATTAAAAAAACAATTAAATAAAAACTAAGATCAAAATTAGCGTCACGCACTTGCAGTAATTTAGAATGGAAAGCGCATCGTCAGCGGAAATTTATCGACAAACCCTAGCGATCGTCAACAATAAGATGACCGAAGCAAACGCCAAAATAGTGACGAGATATTCAGATTATATTTGAATAAAAAAATCGATTTTTCCAAATTTTCCTTGGGAAAGTGAAAGAAAAGGAAGTATAAGATTTCCATGAACAATTAACGAAACCTTAATATCGCGCATAATTTTTTAAATCATATTCATTTTACACCGAAATCAGCGTCTAACTCTCTTCGATTTTTCTATTTAAATTGTTTTGTTTTAATTTAAGAGATCTCTATTAATCATTCGTTAAAAATCGTACGGTTCGAAAACAGGAGATATTAGATTCTTTACATCCCAAGTGATAAAAAATGACAACCTTAAATCTTCTAACGAAATCTTCGAATGACTCGAATTACATTTAAACGAGAGCGTGCGGTCGATCGGGGGTATCACTTGTCCGACTAATTTTTTTAACGCGTACGACAATTAATGATATTTAAGGGTGTACAGCGATTTATGTTCGTCTCGACACGAGTGCGTATCAGAGCAGACGGACTGCAACTGAATTCAACTGTTCGTGGGCTGGCATACAACCGACGGCCAAGAAGAAGGTTGATCGATACACTCGTAATTCGCGATGCGTTTTTAAAGTACTCACTCAGCCATATTGAATCGTGACTTCGCATCATATGCAAGAAATATGTCATAAACGACATTGATTCTTCTTGCATACCATTTATAAATAAAGACAATTTAAATAAAACGGAGTAATAAGATCGCTGTAAAACGCTTGTAAAAATGGGCTAAAAGACTATCCTTATTCCCCTAATAATCTGTAAATAGTCATAAAAGGCACGTAAAGTGTGTTTAGTTTTTACTCTATGCGATACGTAGTCTATTTTCATTTTACGAACCTTTTTCGAAATTTACTAACTGTCGGAGGGAATAAGAATAGTTTCGCCTATTTTTACAAGTGTTTTACAGCGATCTCATTATT